ATTCTGTGTTGTTGTTGGCGGAGCTCTTTGCTACACGTCTACCCGATCCGCCATCTTGTTTGTCCTCCCTACAGATAATTCTTATAGAGCACTTTTAAATCATCTTAACTATGGTCAGATCACTTCATTGTTGATTTCACCATTTAATCAGATTTAGCCATAAAGTGACCAAATTGCATGGGCAAACCACTAACCCAATCAGGAAAAATCAAGCAATAGCCTAATAATAACACTGAAAGAACAAGTGAACCAACAGGGAAGTAGCAAACAATAGCAACTAAAATTTAGTGACGAACTCTAGAAAGGATCAGGTATTTATTATTCTGAAAAAAGAAATGTCCCAGAAAATAAGTTAATTGCAATGGTGACTTCAGTGATTTAGGAGGTTGTCTGATTAGAAGAAAGAAAATAAAGAAAAAGGAAAACAAAGAAATGGGAAAGCATCTAAAATTATAAATTATATTTCATTTTCTCATATTAGCAACAATGAAGCATATACTCTCTAAGGTTTGAGTTTATAAGAATATACTTCTTTAGACAAACTATACTTCATTCTATAACTCATTCATACTTTTTATTTTGTTGATTTCATGTCCTGTCATCATTATTATTATTAAATTTGAAAAATAACAGCATAATAATAATGTGTTGAGCTCTTGCTGCTTGTGAGGAACCGTATCACTTAAAACCATCTCTTTCAAACCTCACACCATCTTTTTTAAGGTAAATACTATTACTGTTCCCATTTTATAGATTTGGAAACTGAAGCCCAGAAAAGTTAAGTAACAAATTCAGGTTATACAGCCAATAACTGGTAGAACTGGAATATAAACTCAAATTACTCAGACAGAACCCAAGTTCTTAACCATTATATATACCACAAGAAAAAATTGGGAAAGAAGTTTTGGTTTTATTTTTAAGAAAATTGAAATATACCTGTGCAGCCCATTCCTTCTTTTGGTCCAGTTGGAACAAAGTATCTTTGATTATTCTCTTTCTTGCATCTTCCAGAGTGATTTTATACTGTTCTTTAAAAAGAAAATTAGAAGCCTTAACAAGGCTGGACTTAGATAAAACTGTGATAGTAAATTTTATTTTCCCTGATCCTCACCACTCCTTCCTGATATTCCCTCCTCCCCCTGCCCCCAAAATTATCAGGACAACATTTACTAAAGTATCAAGTTCCTCCAATTAGAAGAAAACGAAAAACTCCAATAACAACAACAACAAAAAGTCACACTGCTTTCTATTTGATTCCAGTAAGAAGTAATGAAAAGTGTGAAAGTTAATGGACCTGGTTCTTAGTTAGGTTCAGAGCAAGAAAGGAGAACAGAGTTTAGGATGAGAAGGATTCTATACCATCTCCAGATTTCTTATGCTCATAAATGTCAGCATTGAAAGAACAAAGAATGATAAAATTTTAGGTTGTGAAAGTTTAGAGAACATATGGTCAAAATGTCTATTTGTTAGCATTTTACAATGGTTATGAGTTGGCCTGCTAACCTCAAGGTCATCAGTTTGAAACTACCAATGTTTCTGCAGGAGAAAGATGAGGCTTTCTGCTCCCATAAAGATTTACAGCCTCAGAAACCCTATGCAGGGTCGCTGAGTCAGAACTGACTCCACGGCACATAATCACCACCACCAGGTATTTTTTTAAAAAAAGCTAACTAGACTCACTGCCCTCAAGTCAGTTCTGGCTCATGATGGCCACATTGGAAAGAGTGGACTGCCCCATAAGGGTTTCCAAGGCTATATATCTTTTCTTATAGGAGTGGGTTACATGTTGAGCTGCTAACCACAAGGTCAGTAGTTTGAATCCACTAGAGAAAGAGGAAGCTTTCTGTTCTTGTAAAGCTTCCTCTTTCTTTTTTTACAGCCTTGGAAACCTTACGTAGGGTCACCATGAGTTGTAAGTGACTTGATGGCAGTAGGTTAAATATTTATTGAAGCAAATTGTCACATCTTCCTCTTGCAAAGCAACTGGTGGGCTCAAACTTTTCGGTTGACAACCAAGCACTTGAACACTGCGCTACAAAGGCTCTTGTAACTAGGCATGCTATTGTTATTAGGGCCATCAATTTGGTTCAACTCATAGAGACCATATGCACAACTGAATTAACCAGTACCTCCAGTCCTGCACCATCTTACAGTCGTGCCATTGTTGCAGCCACTGTATTAATCCATTTCTTTTTCACTGACCCTCTCACTACCAAGTATGATGTTATTCTCCAGGGACTAGTCCTTGCTAATGACATGTTAAAGTATGTGAAATGAAATCTAGTCATCCTCCCTTCTAAGGAGAATTCTGGCTGTACTTCGTCCCACACAGATTTATTTAAGTCAGGCAAACTTTAGTCTTCAAAGTGACTTCTTTGCTTTTGAACACATATTTTTATTTATTTACTTGTATGTTTGAAAAAGCCTTACTGTTTTATTAGGTCCAGAGAAGGAGCCTGCAGGGGGGTGGTGTGTAGGCTGGGCTTAGGATGTGTGTGGGCTGTGAGGAGCAGATTGTGAGTAGGGGCTGGGCTTGGAGGCCAGCCTCGAGGCTCCTCAGGTTTGCTAGTGGAGACGTGGCTTCATGAAAGAGTCATGGCATGCTTGAGCAAGGCCGCCAGTAAGATTAAGGAATTCTGGGAAATCTAGCTGCCCATCAGAGTTCTGGTCCAAGGACACCGGGATCCTTCTGGTTCTTTGTGAAGACATTCAGTTCTGAATGCTTTTGAACACTTTAAAGAGATGTTTTTAAACCACCTATTACCCAGTGCAATAAGTGGTTTGATTTCCTGACTGTTGGTCCATGGGCATTGAATGTAGATCTAAGCAAAATGAAATCCTTGAAACTTCAATCTTTTCTCTGTTTAACATGATGTTACTTATTGGCCAGTTGTGAGGATTTCTGTTTTCTTTATATTGAAGCGTAATTCATATTGAAGTATTCTTTGATCTTTATTGGTAAGTTCTTTAAGTCCTCACTTTCAGCAAGCAAAGTTGTGTCATTTGCAAATCATAGGTTGTTAATGATCTTCCTCCAATCCTGATGTTGTTTTCTTCTTTATATAGTCAAACTTCTCAGATTATTTGCTCAGTATACAGATTGAATAAGTATGTGAAATGATACAACACTGAAGCACACCATTGCTGATTTTAAATCATGTACTATCCCCTTGTTCTTTTTGCATATTGCCTCTTGGTGTATGTACAAGTTCCCCATCAGCACAATTAATTTTTCTGAAATTCCCATTCTTTGTAAATGCAAAGTTTGTTATGATCCACACAGTCACATGCCTTTGCATAGTCAAAGGAACACAAGTAAACATCTTTTTGGTTTTCTCCATTTTTAGTCAAGCTCCATCTGATATCAGCAACGATACCCCTTGTTTCATATCCTCTTCTGTGCCCAGCTTGAATTTCTGACAGTTCCCTGTGAAAGTGCTGCTACAACCATTTTTAAAATGATCTTCAGCAGAATTTTTTCTTGCATGTGATATTAATGATATTGTTTGATAATTTGTACATTCTGTTAGATAAACTTTCCTTGGGATGGGCATGAATATAGATCTCTTCCAGTTGATTGGCCAGGTAGATAACTCTCTTCCAAATTTCTTGGCATAGGCTAGTGAGAGCTCCATCAATTCCTAGAGCCTTGTTTTTCATTAATGCCTTCAGTGCAGGTTGGACTTCTTCCTTCAATGTTACAGGTTTTTGATCATTTGCTACCTCTTGAAATGGTTGAACATCGACCAATTCTTTATGGTGCAGTGACTCTCTGGATTCCTTCCAACTTACTTTAATGCTGTCTTAGTCATTCAAATGTTTGCCCATACTATCTTTAAATATTGCAACTTGTGGCTTCAATGATTCAGTTCTTTCACCTTGAAAAATGCTGAGCATGTTCTTCTTAGGTATTGTTGTTGTTAAGTGCCTTCGAGTAGGTTCTGACTCATAGCAACCCTTTATAGGGTTACCAAGGAGCAGCTGATGCATTTGAACTGCTGACTTTGGAGTTAGTAATCTAGTGCTTATCCTACAGTGCCATACCAGGACTCTTAGGCATAGAGAATGAGCAATACTAAATTTTACCTCAACTCTGCTTTCAGGAAAACAGTCACAGTTCAAAGAGCTCTACAGCCTTCCTCCCTTTCATTCAGGAAAACTTCCTACAAAAAACTACCCTTCCCATATGACTTAAGACTCATGTTGTTGTTGTTGTTAGGTGCCATCAAGTCAGTACCGACTCACAGCGACCTTATGCACCGCAGAACGAAACACTGCTTGATCCTGGGCCAACCTCACT